ACGTGTACCTGGATCTGCAAAGGAACCTAGATATTGCCATGCTCTGAGGTATTGTGCCTTAAAAAAAATCACAGGTACAACACTGCAATCCCCAAAGCCTGAGTTAGATGCCTATTACTACATTGAGAGAAAAAGGCACCTTGAAATGTGATCCACAAATGTCAGCATGCCTGGCCCAGGGCCATCTAGGGTGGAGGAGGCCAACCAGAGGGGTATGTACTAGGCTTCACCTACCTCTGCTTAGCATGGGCATTGGGTGAAGCCCTGACTTGTGGAGGCTAGTCTCTCAGCTTGAGGCCCTGCTGGAGTCCTGCCCCTATTGTAGTCACTGGGACCTGCTTCCCAGCCCTAGAGCTCAGAGTTGCCAGGCAGCACAGATGCATTCCTCTGGGCCCCAGAGTGTGGGGAGGCCAGGCAGTGCAGACCCAGACTTTCTGGCCCTGGAGTGCAGGGAGACTGGCCACCCAGAAAAGCCAGAAGCAGGAGAGGAACTGGGGATGGAGTATGGGTGGGCCACACATGGCATTTTTGAGGGGCTTATCTTCACTCTGTCAGCAGTATTCCCTATAAGCTGAGTGCTTGGCCAGGCACCCAGGAAAGATCCAAATGCTGCCCACTCTGATTAGCAAAATGCCCACAGCTGCCAGCATGTGTTTCAACTAGTGGTGCACATCCACACATGCCTCAGCACACACACAATTTATTCTGCACATGTATGGAAAAAGTTAAAGGGAACATTTTCCTGCTGCCCATGCTGCTTAGTACCCTTCACATGGAACCCCCTCTCCAGTGTCAGGCAGCTGAGACACCCAAGTTGTTTCCATGTGGGGAATGACTTAGGCACCTCTGTTGATCCACAGAAAAACCGTTGAAGACCAGGAGCTGAAGGTGACCTAGCACAGCTTTTAGCCCAGTGTTTAGAGCAGTGTTTCTGAAAGTGTTCCCACAGCTCCCCTTGGCTGCAAAGGATGAAATGGAGCCAATGGGAGCCACGAGGCTCCGTGGCCACGACACCGGTAAATAAACAAACCAGAGCAGCCAGTTAATGTGTTTCTGAGAGTGATTCCGTGGAACACTTTCAGAAACACTGGTTTAGAGGACTCACCTTGGAAGTAGGAGACCCCTCTTCAGATTCTGGTCACCTCCCCCCCCCGCCCCCGTCTGTTGTTCGTCCATCATTGTCGATGAAGACCTCAACACCACTAAGTGCTTTGAGACTGGATACAGTGTGTCCAAAGATGACTTATCAGGTCAATTCGGGCACCAAATGTCCTGGAACATGTCAGGCAGACGTGTAGGCATTGCAATCATTGTGCTGGTAGCTTTGGACTTGCGCAGCACGCGCTTGTGTTGTGCTTCAGAGATGCGCCTTATTTCGAGAGCTTGGCATCCCTTGTGGATGAGACTGCATCAGGCAGAGCGGTTGTGTGCCAGCAATTCCCAGGTGGTTGTATCAATTCCGAACGACTTCAGGGAGGCCTTGAGTGTGTTTTTGTAACGTTTCCTCTGTCCACAATGCGAGCATTTACCAGTAGAGAGTTCTCCAAAAAGGAGCTCAATTGCAGTAATTGTGCACAAGAGGATGTGACTGGGAACGTTAGGGCACCTTCACCATGAGAGACTGACAGTGCCCTATATCAGAATAGCTCAG